CAGTACTGACCCTCTGACAGTGCGGCACTCCCTCAGTACTGACCCTCCGACAGTGTGGCCTTCCCTCAGTAGTGTTGCGGGAGTGTCAGCTTTAAGTTTGTGTTCCATTCTTTGGGTTGGGATTTGATGTTCGGGGTATGTTCTGATTTCGAGGGGAAACTGCCTGCAGGTCAGATATGTTCGCTGTTTGGGACCAGTCATTGAGTCTGATTTGTCCTTGATTGGATTTGTTTTCCAACAAAGGGGTTGAACAGTTTAGCTCAGTGTGGATCTGGTTCTTGGGCTGTGTAAACAGATGAGACTTTGCTAAATTAAAATGATTCTAATATCCAGCCAGAAGTAACAATCAAAAGTGGTTTCACAGAGGTACAGAAACGGCAGAGCTCCAGTGATACATTGAGGCTGTATGTCAATCTGCTCAAAGCCTGATCTGAATCCACTCGAAGTGCAGGTGACTCTGGTCCTGGTTTTGGATTCCAAGGGAATTGCCAGCAATTGGATCCTCAGACTGTCCCAGAACAGATTGTCACTATGTTTCCTGCAGAGATTCCTGTCATCCCAATGAAGAACCCGTCAGCTCCTGAAACCACATCCCCCCTGCACATGAGGCAGGGACAGAATCCTCCCCACTGTCTCCAAGATGGTTAGCACATGGGTAACTGTGTTAGTTCACCAATCCCCGAGCATCTGCTGCAGCAAGGAGTCAGCCAGGAAAACAATCCTCCTCTTCTTCCACATATGTGGATGGAAACCAACCAACCTGAAAGCAACCAATCATTGACTGTTTGATGGTCAAACTGGGAAATATCCCACCTCACAGCAATAAGACCCTCCTCCCAATGTCTGACATCCCAGCTCAGGGCAATGGTTCACACTGAGATTCCAACAGTACAGCAGCAGACCATTCTGCCCATCAAGCCCACACTGGGTCTTTGAGAATTCTTTCTAATTAATCCTGTTCCTCTGCTCTTTCCCTATCGCCCAGAAAACATCCGTTTACAAGTATTCCCCCAATTTCCTTTTGAAAGTGATGATTGAATCTGCTCCCACCCCCCTTTTCAGGCAGCATGTTCCAGATCCCAACAACTTACTGTGTAAAACACTTCCCCTCTCTGGGGGATTTTCCCAATTCCCTTCAATCTGTCATCCTCTGCTCACTGAGCCTCCTGCCCCGGGAAACGCTTTCTCCTCATTTACTAGATTAAACTCTCTTCATGATTTTGAACACTTCGGTTAAACCCCCCGATACCTTCTCTGGTCGAAGGAGAACCATCCCAGCTTCCCCACATTGCCTGATATTTGCTAGACTGACTGGGATTAACTGGATCATTTTTCAACTGTGTGCATTGGCTTGATGGGCTGAATGGCCTCATTCAGTGCTGTCAAACTCTCAGAGCAATGACCACACACAGCCTAAGCCTGGTTACAGTGCTCACTGACTCTCACACTCACAGTGCAATCCCATGGCAGTGTCACTCACTCTCACACTCACACTCACAGTGCAATCCCAGG